AATAAGCCCAAGGCCATATTTTGTAAGTAAAAAGAAAATAAGACCCTGACGTATTTTCGGGGAAACACGGTATACTCTGATGTTGGGATACTCTTTCAGAAACAGAAACAGAATTACAGAGTTGGAAGGGATCTTGGAGGTCTTCTAGTTCAACCCACCACCCAAGCAAGAGACACTATATCATTCCAGACAAGTTGCTTTCAATATTCCTTGCCAGTAATCTAGCTGCCACTATCTCCACCAGCTTCCATTTCCAAAGGGGGTGCCATGTACAACATGCTACCTTAATTAGTCTGGTTAAGTGGCAATGAAGACATGAGTGACCAACACTAGGACATAATGAATTAAGTTATATATTTTTTAAAAAAAAATCTAGGATGAATTTATGTAAAATAAATCATGAAAATATACATTTAAAAATAAGATTGGATGGGTTTAATGTATATCTTATGATTTGTTCCCCTCAAAAAAATTGGGGAAGGCTAGCCAAATTTTTCTTTGTTGCCAAGAGTTGTTGTTGGCTTTTACAATATAGTCTTTCAATCTGAACTATATCTATCTATAAATATTATGTGTCATATGATATTGTATACTTATTGCAATTCATTGTTCAGGTTCTGCATGTTCCCTATGATTCCCCTCTATTTTTCTTATAATTATATTCACTTTGTTAAGTATGTTTAGTCTCTGAAAATCTAATCTAATTAATCTAATCTATCTAAAGTGAATTCATTCACTATTTACAGCACTTCCATGTCACCAACTCCATAAGGGCTGACAGTGGTTTACAAAAAAGCTGAATGTGAAATCCATGATTCTGGATGAAATTGCTCACAGTAAATAAACTAAAGCATTTGAAACATACTGCAACTATACACATTATTTTGCCAGGATTTGTTTGCTTGAGAAGAAACATCATCCTGTTCTCCTGTAGGTACACACACTTGCAACAATCCCTCTTTACATTTGAAATACATTACTGATTTTCTGTCCACTTAGGGACAGATTCAAAAATTTAACAAGGCAGGACAACGTAGCAGTTGTGATATGAAGTGAACCTTTAAACTAAAGGTAGCTGATATTAATTAATCCTCTTGGGTGAGTAAAGTACTACAGTTGCTTGGTGTCTATGGTTATAAATATTATGTCTGAAAGACAAAGTAACGTAATGTATCTATGGTAAAAATACCAAAAAAAAGTAGTTTTAAGACTTCAGAGGGGAGCATTGCTTATAATATTTCCAGACTTCTCATACCTCACACTAGATTTCAACCATCAGTTGACACTGGGTTGTTCTCAGAAGTAGCTGCTGATGGAGCAAGAATGAATGATACCACCAGATTCTGCTTCTCTTTCAGATTAAGATTAATGGCAATTTGGGGGCGGGGGGAGAGCATTATTTATTTCTTTACCAAACTCATATGCTCACCATCTTGTCGAAGAGACTCTGGGCAGCTTAAAATTATCCAGACAGGTGGGATGAAAAGGGTCTATGACAACTCACCAGAGCCAACTCACTGCAGCCAATTTGCCACAGCCAAGCCACTCTGGGACAGGTCACCATGGCCAACTTGTCATGGAAAAACTCACCACGGGACAAGAATTACAGTAATATATAAAAAAAATAGTGGAATTGGATCATTAAAAAAAGGATGCCAAAAGAAGGACAAAATGAAATGTGAATGACAAAAATTAAAATATTTTTAAACTATTTTAAATGATTAAAATTAAATAGTTGAATTGTCCTGAAGCGAGTTATCTTGTGGAGAATTGACCATGGCGAGTGGTCCTGCAGCGACTTGGACGTGGTGAGTTTTTGGTAGCAATTTGGCCATGGAGAATTGACAGCAGCAAATTCTCAAGTTGCTCCATTGGTTATTGGAATAGACCTGGCCCCAATAAATGCTGGTTATTTCAGAATTGTTAAAGTCATATAGCTTTAAGACTGGAAAATATCTGAGAAGAAGAATTTGTCTATTTGGTCTAGATATTTACAGAGTTTCCCTTTTTGGGAAGGCCCAAGGGACATGGANCCAGAAAATAGTTTGCCCTTCAAAGCTTACATGACTGAATAGAGTTTATGTTTTTCACAAATTTGGGGAAAATTTCATGGGCATTCTCACAAAACAACTGCTATGAAGTCAAGGTCAGGCACAAAACAGCAAAATTGGTACATGGGTGGTGATTGCTTTTCACCATCATTACTGAGATGGTTTCTTCTAACTCCATTCCCATTTCACTGGAAAGCAAGCATACTTCAAAAAAAAGTTGTAGCTGCCTATTCTTTTCATTTGACTAATAATCATAACCAGAGACTTTTATGAAATGCGTGTTTGTTTGCTTAATGTGGGATTATACTTTGTAACATACCGGCTTTTGATTTATTTTTTACTTAAAAGTATATAAAAAAATAAAATCAGCTGAGCATTCAGTCTATATTTCACCGGATCTAATGTTTAGGCAGGATATAAATCAAATTTCCTTGATAGTGATTTGGTGAACATAGCCAAAATATATAAAAAAAACATTGTTATGCAACAATATTGTCTAGATAGTTGGTATTTTATGAATGAATTGTTCCTTCATAATAATGTAGATTTGCATTTCCTTCTATATGTTCCTATAGGTACTACTAAATATGTTTGAATTTGGAAAGAATCCACAAGAGGCTTTGGATGCATCTCGTTTTTATATAGAATATAGCAAAAAAGGTAAGACTATAAAATGGAATGTATATTCCCTCTATCTGAATAAGCAGGAAGAAATCTGAAGTAATTGTCCGACCCTCATTATAGTGACACAGTGCCAAGATGCCAAGAAAATCTTGCTGATTAAGATTTAATAGGTCAAGTTTGGATAGCAGTAAGTATTCTACTATAATTAAATTCAATGATGGATTCATTTTCTCCCAGTAGCAATGAATAAAACCCACACAGTTTGCTGTATGTTGAAATCAATACTATGGTATTTCATACCCTATGTTGCATTTGGTTTCTTTTTATTACTTTGTTTTTCCTTTTATTTCGTTTGCCTGATTTTGTTTTGCTGATATGCTCTTGGGCGAATGACTGCAGTAGATGTAGCTGTCATAGAAAAACAGGCTTGCAAGAAATGGCAAATGAAACCTGTAATTTCTGCTGTCCATCTCAACCCCCCCTCAAATAGATTTCCTTCTGATGATGTATTTTAGTTTCTTTATGCTACTTCCAAAGAACCAATTTGGTGCAGGAGTTAAGGCATCAGGTTAGAAACTGGGAGATCATGAGTTCTAAATCCACTTTAGGCACAAAGTTAGCTGCAGGACTTTGGGCCAGTCACCCTCTCTCAGTCTAGGAGGGAGGCAATGTCCAACCACTTCCAAAATCTGTCTAGGCTCTACTTGACTTTAGCCAAAAAAGAGAACCCATCCTGAAGGCACAGTAGAATATAAATTTCATAAGTTCATATATGTATGTATATAAGTCTCTGTGTGTATATATACATAGTGATGTGCTGGTAAATATATAAGAACTAGTTTAGGTGGCTCCACTGACGTCACTGTGCTGAACCACTAGCCATTGAACAGATTGTCAGCACACTAGGCATAGTAGCTTAACTCTGTCTTAACTGGCTAACAGTTTTCCTAACAATGTACCAATCACCTCTTATGAGCCAGTACAACCCGGTTCCAGCACACCTCCCTCTCTTGTTCTATGTATATGTTCATTTATTTTTCTGTATTTACAATATATAGGAACATAATTTTAAGATATCACAGAGCTTTGGTCTTGTATTTATCTTAGTTGAAGGGTACTCAGTTATATCATCTACTTAGACCTATTTCCTGATGACAAAATGAGACAAGGTTTACTTATAAGCAGGTTTCCATATCCCTTTGTGCAAGCATTAACAGCTAATTGCGCAGGATTGTCTGTTAAAACATCCTTTCTTAACCTGGTGGCCTTGGGGATGTTGACTTTCTTGATCCTTTGTTGATGCTAGGCTTGTGAAGGCTACTTGAAAGCATGTCTTTTTACCCAAAAGCTTATTCAGAACCAACCTGGACAAAGATCTCTATTGATGAATTGCATTATCAGTAGGAAGTTCTTAAAGCATAAGCTCAGCATTCCTCTAGCCTTCCTCATCCGCTTGACTGAAGCATAAGGGGTGAAAGTGAAGAGGAAGGAAGGACACATACATGTGCAGTGCAGCAGTTAAATGTTGGGCTTCGATCAGGGTTATCCCACCTGGCTATTGAAACTCACGGGTAATTTTGGATCTGTAATTCTCTCTCAACCTATCCCACTTTGCGGGTTTGTTCTTACAGGGATTATGGACAGAAAGGCTAAAATTAGCCTTTATGTCCATAACCCCACCCTGTATATATNAGAAGTTGTCAGAATCTACTAAAAAGATGCATTTCATTGTTAACTGTCTTTGTGTATATATAGGATCTTCAGAAATCTTTTTAAGAAACCTGAAACATATTTAAAAATATTTAGGGGTGATTGTTATGAGCAAGTATTTAATTGACACGAGCATATAATCTGTTTAGGAATTTAAATACATGCTACATTGATGCATGCACTGTTGCTTAAAAATTAATGACATTTGATGGATGTTACGTATTTGCATCATATATTTCATGTGTATATTTTTATATTATTCTCATTAAGAATAAGTAATAATATATGTTAAAGTTTTAGTATTTCATTAGTTGAAAATTTGATTTTCATTTAAAACAGTATCAGAAAATTTCTTTCTTTGGTTGATAGTCAGCATTAAATAGTGTCAATCATTTTTTAGGGTATGAATATTTGGGAAATTCCTCCAAATGGGCAAGGAATCACAACTTTATTAGCCCTGAATATTTTAGAAAATTTCAATGTCAAAGGTATGATCAGCTTCTAATTTGTACATATCAGTTGCTTCTAATTTTAAAAAAAGCCAGAGGTTTCTACTTTAGGAAAAGAAGAGGAAAAAACACACATTTTTGTCAAAAGGTTTATATTGAATGAATGACCATTGAGAATGAGACTTTAAGAGACATTATAGGATTATACAAAAGATTGACAAAACTTGCCATGTCAGCAATTCTAAAAACTATTAGCTTAAAGCAATAGAAACCACACATTACTAGAGACTAATAATGGGAAACTGGAGGGAAAGATTGAGAAAATAGTAATGGCAAATTTCTTCTGTATCCGAGTTAACAAATTTAACATATCCATTTAGCTTCCCAGATTCACTCAATTTGTGGGTAACTTTATTTATATAAATAACAATATTGTTCATTCAAACATAGAAACTCATAGAAACTTGGTGTCTGGTGGCAGCTCCAACGGCTCCTGCTGGGCCACAACACATATCAATTAATACAGGAGGCAATTAAGACTTTTTAAAAAGAATGTTTTGTTTTTATATTATAAAAATTCCTAATTGTGCAGCAATATACGTATATAAAATTATTTTCATTGTAATTTAGATCCCAATCTAATTGTAGCAATATATGTAAAATTACTTCCATAAGGAAAACAAAAAATGATCATTTTTGATAAATATATGTAGTGTTACCCGCCTAATGTACACCTTCCAACTCTCCAGGTATGTTCAGAGTACAATTCTAATCTAGCCCCCTATTATGATGATCCAGATGATGATAAGATAAAGTACAGTTCTGAAATGCTGCTTGTGGAGAGTATGTTGGTGAGGCCACCGGTGAAATTTCCTAAGACTATAAGAAATACTTGTGAAATCACAGACTTCGGCCCTCCTAGCCTGAAGTATTGACTTTTTAAAGTATATCAGTGGCTTTGGAAAGAGCATTAGTGTAGTGCTAAATGCCACATTGAAAATCCTGTCTTTCTTGGAGATTAGCTTTTATGGACTGATTTTATTAACATTTTATCTCATATATTGTAAGCCAGCTGGAATGAGAAAAGCAGATGGCACATACATTTTGATAGCAAATGCCAAAGTTCAAAGACAAGAGGAACAAGGAGGAAGATCTATCAGAATCAGCAATAAAGGCAGAATAAAGGTTGACCATAGAAGATGATGGAGCAAAAAAAAAAAGAATGGCACTTTTGTCCTAGGCTGTCCCTATATAAGTATGTTTTAATTTCTCAGGGAAATATTTTTCCAAAGTCAGAAACTGAGTGGTACGATAAAAGGACCAAAAGAAGGCGTGGACCTGGGTCAAACATGAAATTGAATTCATTTTTAAATTTAATTTAAATTAATTACATACACTTAATATGACTACTTTTCATCAAACCCATAATCTTCCCCCCTGTCAGTTGGAAAAAACTAGTCCCAATTTCTGAAGATGCTCTGGTGACGATGGGGCAGATCCAGTGCATCATCATTAAATTTATATGCTGCCCAGCTCCCAACAACTCTGGGTGGTTTACATAATCATTAAAACATCTTTAAAGGAAAAAAAAACAAGAGATAACAAAGATAGCAGAGATAGAAATCATAAACAGGAACAAAGAAAATGAAGGAAAGAGGATTCAATCACACTAACCAAATGTCTGGAGAAAGAGCATCCTCTGGTGTAGAAAACAATGTATGAATCAGTTCACTGTTTTTCATCAGTAAGTACTGTACACACAATTATACCTCTATACATATGAAGGATTTTATGAATTGCAAACAATAATCTGTGTTGGTTTATTTCTGCAGATCTGGACCATAATTCTACTCATTACTTGCACATTTTAATTGAAGCATTCAAGCTGAGCTTTACTGATAGTTTTTGGTTTTGTGCTGATCCGGAAAAAGGAACAGTGCCTACAGCACAGCTCCTTTCTAAATCTTATGCCAGAGACCGTTCACATTTGATCAAGTTACACAGGTAAGCTGTCCTCCTGTTTGCTTTTATAAATGCCACTACTTATTAATTAATTACTAAATATCAAACAATACCACAGAGTTAATTATTGTTGGCTACAGCTTTCTTTTCAAATAAGTTAGGTTAATGTTTGCCAGCTGTCCCAGGTGCTTGGCTGTGTTGGTATTGATGTTTTTATCCAAACTGCATGAGCTGCTTTCAAAACAATTTTGCTTCATAGTTAATTTTAGATAGATTGGGAGTATCTACACTTGGAAAACCTGAGAATAATTTTTCATAAGAAAATAATTCTTCATAGAAGTTGCAGAGTTGGCATGGGAAACTCGGGTTAAGGTCCACCCTCTGAAATTGAACCTTACTGGGGAATTTTGGGTGAGTCATTTTGGCTCTATGTAACCAACCTGACAGGATTATTCTGAAGAAAAATAAGAGAAAAGCATTCTAATCTACTCTAGTCTAATCATCATCATCATCAATCATCATCATACTACAATAGTCTTCACTGAACAACCAGAATTGGGACTGACAATTCTCTCAGTAAGCAATATGGTCACTTGTGATTTTACTTCTTCGTAGACTGTACATGTTGGAAGCCGGCTGTGAAGATCACAAATGGTGATCACATGCTTGTAGGATGCTGTGACGGTCTTAAGCACCCACTGGTTATGAAATGCCCAAATCATGGTCCCGTGACTGAGGGACACTGTCCTAAAAGTGGGGACACAATTATAAAGTTTCTTTTTAAGTGCTACTGTAATTTCGAATGGTCAATAAACAGGACAGTCNATGTGGAGTGCAGAAATACTTAGCCAAATGAATTAAGACCAAAACATAAAATAAATTCTATGTAAATTTAGTTTGCATCAACACCATATCTTTCTATTCCTATATTTGTTTCCGTCACATCCAAACATTGATTCATACTTTTGTTTTTGTTTTTTAGCTTTTATACCTCAGATCTAAAGTTTAAGGAACTTTTATTTTTATCTAATTATTTATATTCTCCTTTCCATTTGAGAAAAATTAGAAGATGCATTTTTGTGCATGGGCTAGCCTTCTTTAGTTTGTCTTACTGTGTGAATCCAAGTGCTGTAGTTTTTCAAATAGGTATAGGTAATTATTCTCCAAGAATCCTGCCTTTTTTTGGCTTTTTATGGTGGTTTGTTCAGGTGTGAAGGTAGCACATATTCTTTATTCTTAGACTACAATTCCATACCTAATTATTTAGAAAAAAGTCCCTTTACATGCAGTTTATTGTTGGTTCATGTTAATTTCATAAAAGTTAATTCACAAATCAACTCAGTTTTATTTCTGTATCTGTAGTTTAAAAATAGTCTTGCTCACACAAGCATAATTGTAACGAAATATATATGAAATAACATATTTGTATTTAGCACCATGTCTGAAATATTATTTTAGTTGTGACAAATTTATTTCTGATTCCTGCATGAACAGAGTCCTATTTTACATTGAATATTAATATTATTCAAGCTAATTACTTCTAGAATATTTGAAAATAATAATTTTAATTTGGCGAATGAATTGAAGTTGATTTGATTTGGAAGAGGCACTCTTGTGATCATTGTGGGAAAGATTTATATTATTTGGGGATGACCAAAAACTTAATCCTGGTTCAAATATATATGTTTAATTATCTGGAAACTTGAATTCATTTTAATTTTATTTTTACATCTCATCCAGAGTAAGAAGTCATGCTGTTCTGCCCCAAATACTTCCTTCTTAGAGTCTGTCTAGTCTTTTTTACCATTTAATCATTCAATTAACTTTAATGGCTATAGCTATCCACAATGCAATAGCAATTTGACTTATATACCACTTCATAGTGCTATAAAGCACTGTAAGCGGTTTACAGAGTCAGCATATTGCTCCCAACAACCTGGGTCCTCATTTTACGAACCTCAGAAGGATGGAAGGATGTGCCAATTCTGAGCTGGTCAGGATCGAAGTCCTGGCGGTGAGCTGAATTAACCTGCAATACTGCATTCTAATCTTCACCATGATTCAATGCTGCCAGTTAAATTGTGAAATCTTTTGGTGAATAGTCCAGCCTAGGTGCTATCGGATCTAACCAGCCAATCCAGAAGTCCTCCAATAGAAAGTGCGAGCATTAAGAAAAAAATGGTTGCATTTCTACTATCATTGAATCATAAAACTCTAGAGTTGGAAGAAACCATAAGGATTATTTACTCACAATTTATAGAAGCACTAATTAAACCATCTATCAAAGATAGCTCTCCAGTCTTTTATAAAACTCTTTAGAGATGAACCCACAAAACCCATAGGTAGATTCTTCCACTGTTGCACAGATCATATCATCAAGAATATTTTTCTTATATTTAAACAAAATCTAGGTAGCTGCAATTTATACCCATTATAAATTGAGACTCTGGAAAATAGCTCTTGAATATTTCCCCCGTAGCTTGCTTTACTCATATTTACTGAATGTGGCTAACAAATCTCCTGTATGGCTTTTTCTCTGCATACTGAAATACCAATGTTTCTTCAGTCTAAGAAACAATAAACTTTCCTTGGGCTATGTGAAAGCATGAAATAGTATCAAGTTAATCACCCTTAACCCTTTTAAATTGGATTCAAGTGTATTTTTTATGAGAATAGTAAATATTAAATCTGGGGTCTTCCTCAACTAGGGCCAGTAGTTTCCAAGTAAGAAGCAAACTCTATGGTTGGATGGATACATTTCAATTAAGTGCTAATTAGATTACATGCTGCTATGTAGATAAAAAGCAGTCAGCCTTTACTTCCTTATTACACACATTCAATTCTTACTTTTTCCTTTCAGATGAATGCTTTCTTTCTAAGATTGATTGAGGTGTCTTGAGTAGAACCATGGGGAATTCCCTTTACAAATAAAGTTATCCAGAGGAACGCCCAGCCCTACTTCCACCACCACCCTCCCACTTCTCAGGCTAGGACAAGGATTCAGTCAGTGCTATTTGTTTAACTGTATTGTTCTACAACGTCAATACTTGTATTTGTCAGGAACTGGACCTGTCAGGCAAGAAACATACCCCAGCAACTGATTCATGTAAATGCAAAATGCCTCCATTCAACCAAGGAAACAAGAGCTTTTGAAAACTCGAGAAAGACTTTATCCACTGCTTTCTCTGCTCTTCTGACATGGGCTTACAAAAATGCAGCGGCTGTTTGAGTTGCCTGTTGATTCCCCTGGCACTGTGGAGTATTGTTATAAATATTCTCCTATATTTTCCTGATGGGAAATCTTCATATGCTTCCAGCAATAATCACACCAACTATGTGTGGCATTTTGAAGGAATCTGTTTCTCAGGTATTATGGTAAGTATGGCTTCTCCAATTAGCTATATACATCTTTTTATTTTCTC